TCCGTGCGGGCCTCCTTGGCTTTTGCGGCTGCCTCTTCGGGTTCCGCCTGGGCTGTTTTCCCGTGGCTGTTTGGGGGCTTTTCCGTGGCTTTGGTGCTTCGTTTTCTGGAGTTGACTGTTGGCTTTTCATATTCCCTATTTAAATAAGCTTAAATTAATGTTTTGGGGCTGTTTGTATTCCCCTCTCATGTCTATAAATAATACATGTTTTGGGTTGTTTAAAAATGTTATATGAATGATTTTTGGAAATGTAAACCTGCGGGTTTTGTTGGAAAAGCTTGCGAGCTTTGTCCACTTCTTCTTCTCTAGGAAATCTTGCGAGCTCTTTCCACCCTTCTTCTTGGCTTCTAATATATTTCGTCTCTCCGGAAGTGACCACCTCACCTGTATCCCTCTTCTCAAAAGTAAGCAAGTTTAGGGTGTCTTGTAAGAGTATTTGTTTGTAAGTCCTTTTATAATATTCAAGTTGTGTTTTATAGTATTTGTGTTCTTTTAAGCATTTTATGTATTTATTTTGTTCCTAGAAGAGTTTTCTTTTGTGATAAAAAATTTGGGCCCCTCTCCCAAATTTTTGATTGCATTAATTTGGTATTAGAACAAGTTAGGAAGTCCCAGGTTTTTTTTAAGTTAGTTTGTCAAGTAAGCCTTGTGAGTCATGTAAGTTTTGAGTTCTAGTGAGTCTTGGTGTGTCATGATAGTTGTGCGTGAGTCTTGTTTTGTGTCTTTCTAGGTTTGTGTCTTAAGTCTTGTGTCTTTCTAAGTCAAGTTGGATAAACACCAAGTGGAAAGCAAGCAAGAAAGTAAACCAATGGATCTCGCCACAAGAAAGTTCTTTTGACCCGATTTAGATCAAGCTTTTCAAGATTCAAGTGCAGCTACACTCAAGTGCCAAAAATTTTGAAGCAAAAAAATTCAAGAGCTGGATGCACCGTCCTTGCCTCCTCCGAAGAAAGCAAAAGCTAACTCATCGGGAGATGAGTTCTCAAGAAGGGGAATTTGTTGTAGGCAAGAAATGGGTCAAAACAAATATCAGTTCATTAATGTCTAGTAGAGAGCCTTTTTAGCTCATAAATTGAGGTTCATTCCCCCATTTGTTATCCCTTTGGTTCATGTGGATGGCTTTTGGGTTTTCTGTGCCATGCTCCTTGGTTTCCCCGGTTGGCTGCTGGTTTTCCGTGCTTGGTGGCCTTTCCCGTGCCTTGGTGCTTCGGTTCCGTGCGGGCCTCCTTGGCTTTTGCAGCTGCCTCTTCGAGTTCCGCCTGGGCTGTTTTCCCGTGGCTGTTTGGGGGCTTTTCCGTGGCTTTGGTGCTTCGTTTTCTGGAGTTGACTGTTGGCTTTTCATATTCCCCATTTAAATAAGCTTAAATTAATGTTTTGGGGCTGTTTGTATTCCCCTCTCATGTCTATAAATAGTAGATGTTTTGGGTTGTTTAAAAATGTTATATGAATGACTTTTGGAAATGTAAACCTGCGGGTTTTGTTGGAAAAGCTTGCGAGCTTTGTCCACTTCTTCTTCTCTTCTCCTCTAGGAAATCTTGCGAGCTCTTTCCACCCTTCTTCTCGGCTTCTAATATCTTTCGTCTCTCCGCAAGTGACCACCTCACCTGTATCCCTCTTCTCAAAAGTAAGCAAGTTTAGGGTATCTTGTAAGAGTCTTTGTTTGCAAGTCCTTTTATAATATTGAAGTTGTGTTTTATAGTATTTGTGTTATTTTAAGTATTTTATGTCTTTATTTTGTTCCTAGAAGAGTTTGTTTTTGTGATAAAAATTTGGGCCCCTCTCCCAAATTTTTGATTGCATTATATATGCATATCATGAGCCTAACCTAGAGGTTATAATAGGCTCTTATGGCGGCCTAAATGGACTATAATGTTTAACTGAGGATAATAAATTACCCAAATGTGCTTCGAAGAACTAAATTGCTATAAAACCCTTGATTTCTTAACTCAAATGCATCTAATGTTGACTTGGCTGATTGACTAGACAGAGTGAAGACATGAATTCAATCTTATTACATCCTAGTTGATTTAAGGGTACTATTGAATTGCCACTAATAGGACGCCTTGCTCACATTGCATGAGTGCAGACTCGTACATATAGTTCTCCCATTTTTTTCGCTATAACGCTTGCACTTGATTGCTTTTAAACCCATGGTGACAAGTCCTGGCGCATTGGGCCTTTTCATAAAAAATAGTCATCGGTTTGAATACATTTTTTATAGTTCATAGTACTATAAACCCAATTAATAAGGTCGGCATAAAGCCATTAAGATCATCAACTAAATAAAAATGCTCTAGCCATGATGCCTGTAGGGCAATGTCATAACCCACTTGAGGTTGACTCTAATAAAGAAGTTGTAAGTGCCATATTTGGGCATATTGAAAGCTGAAGTTAGAAGCTCCAACCTTTTGTGCAACTTACAAATAAAGTAACAATACCCTTATTTTTATTCAAAAATTGGCTTTTTCGAAGGATGTAAACAATAACCTAATAACTTTGGATCTATATGGAGCCACTAAGTCTATTTATCAAAACTTAATCCTTCCAATGGTTGTAAGCTCCAACCTTTTGACCAGTTCACAAATAGAGCAACAAGATCCATATTTTTAATTATAATTTTGTTCTTCCAATAGATATAAGCCCTAAGCCAACTAAATTGTGTTGTCATAATACAATAGACCCATCAATCAAAACTCAAACTTTTTGATTGTGATATGCCCATTGCAATTAAACTCGGGTTTTTCAATAGATGTAACCCCAACTTAAAATATACTCAAGCTATCTCTTATGCTAATAAGCACCTTAATTCATTGAATTAAGCCCCAAGGCTCCTTGGCCATTTGAGAAGGATGAAGTCCGCATTTTCAACGGCATGGTAATCTAGTTTTTTTTTTCTCGTTAAGGTCTTGCTTGTATAGTGGATGAACAACTTTTTATTTATTTATTTATTTTTGGCACTATGATGGACTTGATGCCTATCTCTTCAACCATGAGGGAAGGTAAGATAGGCTTCCGATTATTCTAGCTGCTCATAGTTGGTGGAGATGTTAAATATTTTTTGAATGACTTATCTCATTCTTCTATCTATTTTACTTTCCTAGCTCTCTTTAGGGCTTTGAAAATAGGCATAACATTCCCTCGAGAGGGAGATGAATCGGTAACGCTTACTATCCGATTAGTTAGCATATAGATCTCCTTCACATTATGCAGAAAAGTTCTTTTGAGAAGTGGTTTCTACTTGTTGAGATTAGGCTTGTTGCCTTTTGACCAAATGAGGAAGCTCAATAACTTCCTTGAGCGAGCGCATACATCACGTTTGGATTTCTACTAATTTTGAACTTCCTTAACATTAAGAAGGTACTTGTAAGGATCAAGAGATGATATTAGGTTTTCTCGTTGTAAGAGTTCGTCGATGTATACTTCTAATTTGTCCCTTTTGGAAGATGTCCATGAGGGCACTGATAGGTGTCATCAATGTTTGATAACCTGATGACATGACATGGTTGTTTAATGTGCCTTGATTTTTGATGAAACTTGTCTACTTTTGTCATCTGGATGCATTCTAATTTGTTAGTAGGTGAAAAAAGAAGATATGCATCATATTTCTGGTTTCTTTAGATAGGTTAGCCTCAAAAAAATAGTTAAGCAATTGCATGTACAAACACATGCTCATTCTCGACGATTATAACTATTGCTATCCTGTTATGAAAAGACTTGCATTTATTGATGGAGTTTTAAATTTAATAATCATAATTTATATGTGATTTGGCTCCTCTGAATCTCTCCATTGGATTTTGCTATTAAATAAAAAATGGAAATTTGCATTTTTTTTTGTTTCACAGAAGTTAGTCTATATTTTGAACTTCATTTCAAAAGAACCTTAGGTCACGATACTCTTATGAAATATAATAGAAACTAAATTATATTGTTTGATATCATTTTTGTGGTTTTTGTTTATTTTCAATTAAATTATGGGGTTCTACGTAACATTGAGATATCTTATATGAATCCACATTTGTACATTCTATTTATCACTTTTATCTTTGGAAGGCACGAAGGATTGGCTTTCTTAGTGTTTTTAATATTCAATTCCTTGGAAGTATTTATGGATGTGGAAGGATTCAGGTCTGGTGGTCGGAGAAAGTTATTTCTCTAAGGTTAAAGGTTCGAGTCACACATCGCTATTTTTTGCTCATCATTAAATTTTTTTTTAATATCTATTTTTTAAGGCTTTGCTTGATTGAAGTAAGGAAGTGTGATTTTTTTAAAGGGGGATTTACATAGATGCTATAGTACCCCAATGTATTTACATATATGTCATCTAAAATTTGATATCTATTTATATAATATTTTAGTGTCTCACTCACATCAAAATAAACGCATGAAAAATTAGATATTATTGATGTGATTTAAATATTTAAGTGTTATATAAGTAAAATTTAAAGTTTAGATATTAGATACTAAAAACATAAGAATTGTGTGATATCACATCAATAGTATGTCTCATTCTTTTTGATTGTTATGCACCTTTAGAGAGTGATTTTGGGGCTTTATTATTTTCCATTTCCTTTCAAGTCTCAGTCCTACCATGTAAGTAACTTTTTTAGTTATAGCTATTTTTAGAATGCAGCTTTAAAAACAAGAACATCATCCTCTTTCTATTTTGGTTTAGCAATGTGCATCCAATTAGAAAGATTGTCCTTTCATGGATATCTCAATTCTGTTCCTATATTGAAATGGATGATGGATGTAGATTCCCTTCACGCAAGACTGTTAACTTTAACCGGTTTGTTATAAAACTATTATCCATGATATCACCATAGTTGTGCCATATGAAACGTTGTGATTGCTTTAATATAATTGATTTTTCCCATTATCTCAACTTTTAGTGTCTGTTAATTATTTGTATTTCATAACTTAGATTCCTAGTGCAGATATTAGATGTCTTTGATCTTAGTTTTAAAACTTTGTTTATAATTTTCTGCAATGATTCTTGATAGGGAGTGGGGAATAGGGAAGCCGTATGGCAGCGAAGATACTTATGCCTTGTTGGCCCATTTCTTTACGTATTGGAAAATCCAGAGTCACCATCTTACAAGCAATATATCAGGTAATTTCTCTCTTGTCTACAACAACAACAACATTCAGCTTTTATCCCACTATGTGGGATTGACTTCCCTTGTCTATTTTACTTAATATTCTAAAGGCTGTTTTAATTTTTCTTTGCCAATTTGCTTCTCTTTAAGTGTTATAGGGTCTATTGTGAATAGAAATCTATCTTTTTCCGTTAAGTCATCTGTTGGAAGTCCTAACTCCTAAGCAATTATACATCTTGTTTTTGGCCCTTCTGTTAAAGATATACCAACTGGATATTGTAAAGGAGGCCTTTGAAAGAAATTGGTTATTATGATCTTTCTAGATAAGTTTCCTATGTTTGTTCCGTTATTACTCTAAGATGAAAATTTAGTGTAATTCTCTGAATAAACAAAGTAAACTTTTGTCCAATCCATCATTTGGGCGGTGTTAATACTTGAAGGTTAAATTTATCATTCCAGATGATACGTAGATGAAAAGCAATGTAGGTATAATGAATTACCTAATGTGGATTGTATAGATGATGGAATACAATGAATTCTAAAATGCAAAACTGCTGTATATTTACAATTATAAGAAAATAGATAACTATATCTTGAAAGGCGAAAGGCAAGAAAACTGTCAACATGTTGGTTTATTTGAAATCAACAATCTTCAACTAATATATTTGAAATCAAGATTGCTTTTACCAAAGCTATGTTATCTGATTTCAATGCGTTTTGGGTTCATCCAGTTGAAGCATGCCGTCTTTCATGATGAGATTGCACACATGTATCCACAAGACCTGGAAGTCTATCCCATGAATAGTGGATTGCATTTGATTGGTTTGCTCTTAAAGCTTATTTCAGATTAGAGATCAATTGCCAAAAGAAGTAAACAAGAAAAAAAAAAAAGTTGAAATATGAAGAAAATGGATAAGTAAAGATGATTTATCTTACACCGATTTGCTTAAGTGGTACAATCAAAATTTATAATAGAGAGTTATTTGTAGAATGGTTTTTGGTTGAAGAAGTGTACTATTTTTGTTTGCTGTAGGGTAATTTTGTTGCTTTTACTTTGTTGTTTTGGGATTTGGTTTCTATTTAAATCCGTTCCTGTAGTGTTCTTCATTATCAAATGGGATTTTTTATTTTAAAGGTTGAGGATTCCCAGTTCTTAGTGAGGTTGGGAGGGATGGAGGTCTTAGTGGAGTCTAGAATTCTTCCACAACCGAAAATATTAGTCTGAATGGCCTTCTGACGATTGAGATTGCGGCAGTTGCAATGTGGCATCTGAAAACCTGTGCCCGGATACTAAGAGGGTTTTGTGGTGTTTTTGAGTAAAGTTTTTGGAAGGTAGATTGGATTATATATAAGACATTGTCCAAAGATTTCGCCCTCATTTTGCGAGGACTTTATGACGTGATTCTAAGTTTCCTATGGCATAAGACTATATGGTTAATTACCCCTCAAGAGAAAATTTTTGATTAATTACCACATGATATTAGATAGTTTTTATATAACCTTAGTATTTTACTTAGGTTTTTTGCAATTCGGTATCGTCCAACCTGGAGCCATAAAAAAGCTTATTGTTAACAAACAACTCGTGTTTGACTTGCTAAGAAATTTGTGCTCGACTCACTAAGCATAAAGAAAGCCAAAATTTTGAGCTTGATTATTAAATGAGTCGAAATGATCAATCATTTATTCGATTATGATTGACTTATTAATTGTTAGTATAAAATTAGTATTATATATATATATATATATATATATATATATATATATATATATATATATATAAACTATAAATTTATATTGAATATTTAACTTTACAAGTATATAATAATTAATTATGTGTAGCTACTGGATTCTAATACAATGAATGTGAGCGTTGCTTTTAGATTAGAGCAAGTATGACTTAGGTTATAAATTTTAGCAACCCTAACATCTCTATTTCCCTACCTTTAACCTTCTTGCTTCTCTCTTGCTCTCCTTAGCTCGCCTGTCTCATATTTGTGAGCTCACAGGTCGCGACTCACTTCGATTGCTTCTGCTTAAAAGCATCTTTAATGAGTCTCTCTGTTGCAGAGTTCTGAGTAGGGTAGTTAAAAAAGTTTGTTGTTCGTGAATAGGGTGTATAGAAACAAGTTCATTGAGATTAAAACAAATTTAATCAAAAGAGGACATGTGCATGCTTTTTTGAACATGAGCCAATTTTGATCTAGCTAAAATTTGAACCATTCGAACACAATACACAAGAAGTTCGCTTAAACACAGCTCGTTTACACCTCTAATTCCAATTTGGTAGAAGGTCAGCAGGGTTAAACTAAACCATAATATACTTGGGCTTGATCCATCCACCCAAGTATTTTGATTTGGTTTGAGATGGTCAATCCAGGAAGCTCAGTCAACTAAGAATTGTTGAACTAGGATTGTAGACCAACCAAAGCTTGCGAAGTCATGTGGGTATCCCAAGAGATTCCATTTGTGGAATCCCACATTGGTTTTGGAGAGGACATGGAGACTGCAATGATGCTTCCAACATTGGAGGATCTGTATAGTGGATTTTTGGGAATTAGATTAATCATTATTGAATTAATTATGCTTACAAAAAATAAGATAAAATGAGGTTGTCTTCTTCACTACTTCTTTTGTGTCATTCTTACAAAAAAAAAAAAAAAGGGGGTTTTTTTTTTCCCCCTTTTTTTTTTTTTTTTTTTAAAAAAAAAAAAAAAAAAAAGGTCGTCTTCTTCATTAAAAAAGAATTCTTAAAAGGCTATGATAATCAGAAGCATTTGATATCTACGTTTACCCTTCACCGTGCTATCCACCCTATGAGGTACACAAGATGTGCAGAGGTAGACATGTATCCTTGCACGTCTTTTAGAAACACTGACAGCTGATAATGCTTTGGTGCTATGTTCCAAGCTTTTATTTCCCTCCTTCCCTATGCATTCCGAGTTTGTTATTTTAGTTAGGCTCTAACTTTAAAATGTTGCAATATTCTTTTTTTACGTGTTGATATTCATACCCAGAAGGCTAAGCATTCACTGACTCGTATGTAACGATGTGTATATATATAATGATGTGTTAACATGTTGGAAGAGCAATTTTTTTTAACCTGTGAGATCTTTTTCATGCTTCTTTTTATTACTTTGTGCATTAATAAATTATTTTCTTTGACAGTTTGCGCAGTAAACAAGTGCATCAGGTTCCCAAAGAGTTCACTGGTGATTCACAAAATATGATTGCAGTGTATGATGCTGCCCAATCAAATCTTAAGGTAAACTGTTATTTGCATGCTTGAGAAAGTTTTTAGCTTTTTTTTTTCTTTCTGATAATGATGAGGTTAATTTCTTGGAAAGGTGGAAGATGCTAGCGCATTGGTATTACTTTGTGATTCTGATGAATCAAGAAAAACATGGCAAAATCGTCTTCAAGGGGCAATATATCGTGCATCGGTATGTTTAGGTGTATATATATACACACACACAGATACACACATACCCAGTAAAATTTCTTCAATTTTAATTTTCTCATGTATTCTTTTAGTATTTTAATTTTCTCAATATTTGTTCTTGTTGAATACTTTTCTATTGTTTTGTATCTGGAGTCGGTGAAAATTGAGGTACTTTTAGACTGCTGCATCAAGTATCTATTTAATTGTGTACATCTACGTATGCATACAAGAACATTTGTATGTTGTAGTTATGCTAGATGCATATTTAGTATATGTTGGAGAGAAAAGCTCTATTATAAATAGAGGAATGAGTACAATATTTTAAGGTACATTGAAATTAACTAACCACTCATTAAATATAATACTATCTAATTTGATATTTATATACAAATATATGCATGCATGCATGTTTGCTTATTATTATTGAGAGAAAGGTAGATGATCCAAATCATTTGTCAAAATATGGGCAGTTTATGATGTATTAGAGAGATGAGAGGTGAGAATCTTCTCGAAAAACTTTAGTATATTTGATTTTTTTTCATAGAACATAAGATTGCTGTCAAAATAGGTGATAGCATAACTATTATTGTCAGACCCATAAGATTCTGATTACCTATTATCTTACATTCAAAATTGGTCATAGCTTTGTATTCAACCTTAGCCTTAGACCTGATCACTATGGTTTATTTCTTATTTTTTTCCTAAGTGAGTATGTTACCTCTAATAAAAATATAATATAAAAAATTGAACTTCTTGCTATAATTGAGCTAATATAATCAACATTTGAGGATGCTTTCACATCCAAGTACTCAGTCCTAGGGTAAAATAACTCTTTTCCGGCTGTCTTTTTAACATACCTGAGAATGCATAAAATAATCTCCTAATGCTTATGTTTTAGAGTTCCCTATAGGGCTCATAATTTCTACAACCAATAAAATACTAAGCCTAATTATTGATAAATCAATATTTTGGAGCTTTCGATACAAAAAGGGATCATCAAAGGGACCATCATTAGCTTAAGTGGTTGCGTATAAGGTATTTGCAGGTTTGCAATTTAGATGACTGATTTTTCATGAAGATAAATAATTTTTTTTTTTGAGAGAGATTTTGTTATAGTTAAATTCCACTTCATGGAAAAATTTAGAGTGTTATATACTATCATGATAAAACTGATGAGGACATCAGGACATAGAAAGTTTATTAGAGGCGTGTCCGTCGATCTACGACCACGATTACACCGCTCTATTTTTGATTTTCATATTTATTATTGAGGTATTAGTTTTATTTATGAAGTTTTATTATGCTTTTCCATTTTTGCCCTTAAGGGCATAGGTATGTGTAAGCTTTAGGGGCATATTAGTACTTTGTATTTTCTCATTCTATAGGCTATTTAAAGCCTCCCTCTTCTTCTTTGAGGGTTAAAGGATGATAATAAGAAAATTTCCTGCAACTCTTGTCTTGAGAGCTTGAGAGCATGAGAGCTTTGGAGAGAACCCTTGGAGAGGGAACCAGATCATCCATCAACCTTGGAAGCGTCCGGGTTTGTGGCTTTTATTTTCTTTCTTCCTTTTGGTTTCGTTTCTCCCTTCCCCTTCCTCATAGCTACCGGCCTAGGGCCCCTAACGACTTAGCCGCTGGATTCCCTAGCCACACTCCACCTTGCCTCCAGCCAACTCCCCCCCACCAACCCATCTCCCCTCCACACCCAAACCGGCCCTCCTTCCCCCACCACCAAGCCATTCAACCCACAAACCCTAAACCTACTCGTAGTCTAGCCGCCAGCCATACCATCTCCCCCACACCTCCAAAATTCAAATCCCTCCATTACTTCTTTTCTTTTCCATACAAATCATTTTGGGATAGCTTTCAATCCAATCAACCAATCTATATTTGAAATTCAAATTGTTTCCTAAAATAAAATTCTATTTTAGGAAACTTATCCAATCAAATCCAAATCAAATTTGAATTGGATTGGAATTAATTCTTCCCTCATTAATTGGAATTCCCAAGGAGGCAAGCATTAAAACCCTCTCCCCAATCCCCTCCACTCCTCTTGATGCCACTGGTCCCATGGCCACTTTCCCAATTAATTTATTTCCAAAACTCTAAGCTCCAATCAAAGGAATTAATTCCCTAATTCCTCCCTCCCTCTCCTCCCTCTCCTCCCTCTCTCTATCGGCCACCCACATCAAACCCTAGCCTCCAACGTCAGCTTCCTTGCTGTCCAGAGATTTCTGGATGCTAATAGTGGCTGTCCACCCTTCCAAACCCTAGAGAGCTGCTGTCCAAGACCTCCTGTTTGCTGTCTAGTTATTCTAGCAGGAGTTCGCTGTTGTCCAGCCCCTTTGGGAGCGACCGTTTCTGCCTAGAACTGTCAGGAATCGCTGATCCCAGGTTGGTTACTTGCTGTCCAAAGGTTCGAGCTTGGATTTGTTGATGACTGAGCCGTCCAAGAAGCTACCACTGCTGTCCAAGCTTGCGAGAACGTTGAATCTTAGCAAAGGGTGAACTTTTGCCTTCTTTCATACCTTCCTCGTTGATCCTTACTTGTGGTTTTGATTGATTCATACAAAATCTTGCAACGCTTCGCTAAAGCTTAGTATTTAGTAGGAATTGTGTGAGAGATCTTTCATAGAACTACTCTTATTGTTAGATTAGAGATTTCTTGTTGAAACCCATTTCGTATGCAACATTAAGAGTAATTGATTATTATGTGGTTTTTACTTTTCACGAGTAACTTGGTCTAAGCTTGAGTTTACCGCTCTTTGCATTTTATTTCATTGTTTAACTCACCATAAAGCTTTAATTAACTTGCTCTTAATCATCAAGCATGCAAAATCCTTATCTAAATCATAATTTCATATATGTCCTGCATCAAAAACACTTCTGCTAATAATGTTTCATCTTGATGATGGCTTTTTTGATCAGTGTTAGTCTGACAAAGATGGAATGATCCGCAGTGCTATTGCATAGGCGAATCTCAAGCAGAACTTGGTAGAGCTTTTAAACCAAGTTCAAGGGCTCTAATAAGCGCTATATTAAGCTTATAGATGTCCTTAAGCTGACATGTGGTTCTCACCTCTAGCAATCTACCCAGCTTGGTGCTCCTAAAAACTATATCTTCATGTTAATTGTAGAGGAAAAAATTACTTACATTAATTTGTAGCATAGCTTTCCTTGATTGATGGACACAAATAGATCAGCCAGAACAATGTTAAGCCTTGCAGTTTGACAGAAGGTATTAAAATAATCCATTTCAAGACGTGAGAACTGCCTCATATAGGAAAGCATTACTCAGGCGGTTGCTCCATATAAACTGTCTTTAAGATTTCCATAGAAGACAACAATAATCAAATCCATATGCGCCATAGACCATCCTTGATTGATAAGCACAAATAGAAGAATTAGAACATTGTTAAGTCAAAAAATTAGTGAGAATAAATCAAAATAATCGATCCCATAAACATGTGAATGCTCCTTGGAAATTGACTAAACTTCGTACCATCAACAATTGACTTTGTCATGATTCGGCCTGATAAGCTCAAGTTAACGAGGCGAGAACAGATGGTCGTACAATAATTATTTAAAACATTCATTTCAAATTAACATGATCAAATATTCATCCAAATACAAATAAAAAAGAGCCACTAAACTTTCATTATAATAATTTCTAATACATAAAAAATAACAACCAAACTTAAACGGGTTAAATTTCTACAAGGTATTTATAATATTCTAACAACAGTACATCACATGACATAAAAACAACCACAAAGAACCTATCTCCTTACATTTCTCTACGACGGTAAGTGAAAGGAGTTCTATCAGCCATCACTGCTTAACAGGCTCTCCTGAAAATAATTTCATAATTTGAGTGAGCTAACGCTCAGCATTCATAAAGCAAGGAAAAAAATTTCATTATGCTGCCATTTTTATTTTACAATGCATTAATAACTTAACAAAAAAATAATACAAGTGTCATAAATTCTTATCTGGTATGTTTATTCTATATGTCATCCTAAATGATAATTTTTCTTTTTCATATAGCATTAACCTTTTTCATTTCTTCTTTCATCATTTCATTAATGCTCTTTATGCATATAATACTTATCCATAAACTTATACACCTGTAACAGAAGTATCAAAAATTTGTACTGATCATATACACATTCGATTTTACCGTTGCTTTCTTTTTTATTAATTGCTCCGAAGAGCCCTTTACTAATTGCTCTAAAGAGCCCTTTACCATTAGCTCCAAAAAGCCATTTACCAATTGCTTCGAAGAACCCTTAACCAATTTGGATATTCCGTGCCAACATACACATTCTTTCATGCATTATTTATCGTAAGAGATATAATACCATTCAATCAACCATATGTTTCCATCTAATATGATATTTGTATGCATTTGTACATGTAGGCATTTGAAAAGAACTAAAGGAGCTTGCTACATTATTCATCATTTCTTGCATCAATATGTAGTATGTAAGAAAAGAGCATGCTACTTTTAATTGAAAAAAAAATACTAAAATATAAAGCATTTTTCATAAAATTTAGAGAAGAAGAAATACGAAATTAAAAGAAATACAAGTACCTACCTCAATAAGCAACAATTAAACCTTTTACAAACAAAATATGCCATTTATGATTGTGGCGCATGTCTTCTCCTCTACCCAACACCTAAAATAATGAACACCTTTATTACTAACTCGTTAAAAATAATGCATTTTCATTTAATTAATATTTTAATATTAATAATATTCGGATTTAATTAATTCCTAATTTTTAAAAATTCAAATTATTGTGTAAATCCCTAATTTTCCTATTTTAACACTTTACAATTCCTAAATTAAATAAAAATACTCTCTATTTTCGGTTTTGGTTTTAAACCATAATTTTTGAATTCAAATTTTCATTAATTTCACCATATTAACATGCTAAAACCTCCCCATCACTTAATTAATAATTAGGGCTTAAATATTTTCTGGTTATTTTAAATTA